TTAGGACCATGTGTTGGATTGTTTAGCCTTTACCTTTTTCAAAATTAATATTCTTTGAAAATGTTCAAATGTGAGCAATTGTAACATGAAGTCTCTTTCTCGTTATTATTTATGTCCTTTGTTTCTGAAAGGATGTACACACTCAGTATTTTGAACTATTTATTCCCCTGAGGATTCTATAGTTTGTACGTGTATCCTTTTCTTGCATGCTACTATTTGCAAGATGGCCATGGAAGATACTGAATGTTACTCAGCTTACTAAGAGGATGGAGGCTATGATGTCAACCCAAGAGTACGGTTCATCCACTCAACAAGTCACCAGGAGAGAATGCTCTTGGATTCAGTTTTGACACATGAGGCCATTGCCAGACTGCCTCTGCCGCAGGCAAGCAGTACCAGGCCAGTGTCTAGTGTTTGGTTGCAGCTACAGATATGAAATCTTGTCAACACAAGCACAGTATGTCAGACAACTGTGCAAGGCTGAGTGACATTCAGTGGTCTAAGCCTTTTTTCCCTCCATGCAGATACAAACATGGAGGGTGAGCATGGATGCTGAAAAGGGAGGAAGAAGGTCTCCAGGCTTAATCCATGAAGATCCCAGGAAAACTTGATAAAGCATTCCTGATCCCACAACCGTAAATGCCTCTCTGATCATTAAAAGAGTCTGGTCGTCTGTTTTCAGAGTCCCTTACCCCTTCCTCAGTTCTGGATAAGCACCAGCACATTCTGCCTAACTTCTGTGTGGCATGACAGTTAAGCTGTCTGTATCATTCAAGCCATGTTCTTCCTGGCCTTGGATGGTCTCCGTCTAGGGTGCAGATATCTGCTGTGACTTATACGTTAATTTTGTTACTAATTTGATGAACAGAAGTTCTGAAAGCAAGTTTGGTATCTGCTAAAATTATGAGTCTATACCTATATGATTGGTACTTTTTATAAGTAGTAGTTGCTCTCAGAATAACATGTGTCAATTGTGAATAACTGGTTTTAGCTGACATCAACAAATAATACTATAATTGTGTGTTTCTGTTTTGAGACAGAGTATCGCTCTGTTGCCCAGGCTGGAGTGCAATGGCACGATCTCAGCTCACTGGGTTCAAATGATTCTTCTGCCTCAGCCTCCTGAGTAGCTGGGATTACAGGCACCTGCCACCTTGCCTGGCTAGTTTTTGTATTTTCAGTAGAGACGGGTTTTACCATTTTGGCCAGGCTGGTCTCAAACTCCTGACCTCAAGTGATCTGCCCCTCTTGTCCCGGCCTCCCAAAGTATAATTGTGTTTTAATACTAACCAAAAGTAGCAATGTACCTGAGCTCTTGCTAGGGCATAGTGCCTCATATTCAATATAATATGTCCAGTACTGTCCACCTATGGGTGCAGATAAAAGCTAAAAAAAAAAAAAAAAAAACCTGAGTAATGAACATACTTAACAGAATGGCTAGTTACTTGCAATTCTGCCTCCCCTCCCACTCGTGTTCTTCCTAACGTCACTTAAAAAAGATGATCCGTTTACAGCTACTGCTGCTGCTCTTTCCCACAGATTTGTACCCCATACAGTACCCAGACACCTAACAGATATGCTCTAAATAAATGAATGTGCCTCGGGGAGGCTGATGGCCACAGCTCCTTTGAATAATACTTGTATTGGGAGGTTCTTGCTTCTTGGGAAAGTTATATAGGCAATGATGAGAGCATTAATTGGGGAAATTATTGTCCTACCTTCAAGCAGTATAACTACGGTTGTTTGTTGCTTATTTGGCCACATAGAAAACACAGATTTTTTGTTTGTTGTTTGATTTTAATAATTGGTGGTTGGTGTCTACGATATTGTGAATATAATTAGAAATGTATATGTGTTCTTTGTCTCGGGTTCCTGGCACAGAACTCCTAAAGTTTTCCTAAATGTCCTGAGTAATAGGAGCATCATTTGTTATACATTTGGTCTTAGTCCCTAGTTCTTGACAAAGAGCTTCTTTCTAAGATCCTTGGACTCTCTAGAGTGATGAGAGTGGTTTTTGTATGCTACTGAGATGACAGGTAGTTGAAAGTCTTTAGGTAGCTTCCAGATAGGGGCTGATCACCAGAAAGACCAAGGCATGGCCAGAGGAAAGGTGGTGTACCTAGAGAGGGCCTGGGAGCTCTGTGCCACTTCTCCCATATCATGCCCTATGTGTCTCTTCCATTTGGCTGTGTCTGAGTTGTACCCTTTATAATAAACTACTAATAATAGATAAAGTGCCTTCCTGAGTTCTGTGAGCTGTTCTAGCAAATTATCAAACCTGGGGAGGGGATTATAGGAACCTCCCAACTTTATAATTCACTGGTCAAAAGTCTGAGTGGTTTGGACTAACAGTTGGCATCTGAAGTGAGGGCAGTCTCTGGGGATAGAGCCCTTTAACTTGTAGGATCTGACACTAACTCCAGGTACCTAGTGTCAGAATTGAATCATTGGACACCCAGTTGGGCATCCAGAGTTGGAGAATTGGTTGGTATGAGGGAAAAAACCCACACATCTGGTGTCAGAAGTATTAGAAGTAGAAACAGATGTGAGTGACATGCATCCATGTTGTGTGTTACCCTCCTGATAGCAGGTACCTTTTTCCATGTTAGCATGAAAGTGTGATTTCTGGTCATAGATGATACAGGTGGCAGGATTGCTGTCCTGGTAAATGAAGGCACCTGAAATGACCAATGTACAATCAAGAGATGCTTCCAAGACTAACCAGCTGTTGTCATCAGAGTGTTGGTTTGCAAATCAAGTTGTTGCAGATGTATGCATCATTCAAAGATGTCATTCACCCAAAAAACGTATTGTGTCTGATAGATTTGTCTCACAAATGTGTGCTTTGTTTGCTTTTGTTTTAAACCAAAAAGGGGGCCATTGATGTTTTCATTATTCTTTCTTTTTTACTCTTGAGGATTCCCTTGGGAGAAAGGAAAGATTTTCCTGCTAGAGGTTCTCCAACAGACATGGACCCCCATGTTCCAGAAGTATCAACCTTTGAACTGTTCTAACCCTTTTCTCCTCTCAGTTGTCTTTTTCTTGAGATTCTGCTTCTTGAATATGATTATCTTAAACGCAGACAAGCATTTACTTTAGCATTCTTAGAAGAATGTTAAAGTACACAGGTCTTTGGGTGCTGTACGATGCACAGGTCAGCTTCTTGGTTATTTTGTTCCTAGTAAAGTACAGTGGGAACATACTATCCTCAATCAACTTAGGAAAAAGATCTTTCTGATTGAGCACAATTGATTCAAAGTATCACAGAACATCTTAATGTCAGGAATGTGCGTATCTTTTTAAAAGAAATTTTATTTATTTTGCTTTGTGTAGCAGAATCTTGTCAGTTGCTTCAGTTCTAAGTAGGTATCAATGAAGCTTTGTGATCCTTTGGCCCCAAACCAAACAAAAACCCAAACCTATTTCTGTATCTGATAGATGATGACATTCATATCAAACAATGATAAAATATTTTTAAAACCCATGTGACAACTTAGATTGTTTCTGAACTTTACCTGAGACTGTGCTCTGCTCTGCAGTCAGCACAAGACCAACCGAAAAACAAGGGATGAGGCCACTTGCCTGCGTTTGCAGGCCTCAGGGTTTTATTTTAAGGAGGAGACACCATGTGCACTGCATTTGAGCCTCTCATTCCAGCCATCACCACTCACTAGAAAATTCTGTCTTCTCTTCCCACCATTTAAGAAAGGCACATAAGTAATTTTTTAAAGCATATTGACAACCCTTAAGCAGACTCTTAATCATTTTAATCTTGGTTTTCATCCATGGTTTGAAACAAAAATCAAAGTGGCAACTTAAAATCACAATGGAAACTTGGTTTGAATGTAAAGCAAAGCAAGAAAAATATTTTTCAGAGTCACCTCCTGTATTCCCCTTATTTTGAAACAGTCTCATTTTCCACATAAAAGTATGTAGATGCTTATAAAAGGAATCTGAGAAAACTAGAAAAAATTAATTTTTTATTAAATTTGGCAAACTGGATGTCTGCATTTCATAATGTGTATCTTGTTCTCTGCCAGTTCTAATAATTTACTTTCGTTAAAATAATAAGGTGTCAATTGATTTGTGACTTTCTTAGAACTTATAGAATGAGATATGGTATTATGTTTGTGCAAAGACTACTAAACTTTAAATTCCTAATTTAGAAATTTCCCTTTGGATCATTAGGAATATCTCATAGGTCCAATTTTTATTACACAAGCAGCCCTCCTTAAAGCTGTTTACAGTCAGTCTTTCCTTAAAATAAATTTTTGCTATTAATTTGCTTTTTTAAAAAAACTAAGATGTGTCAAAGAATTTCACGTCTCTTATTTCTATGAATTAGATTTATTAGCAAGTCTTAATGTATAAACCAACTTTTTGTTTATTTTCTTGAGTACTATGAATGTTTTTTTTTTTTTTTTTTTTTTTTTTTGAGACGGAGTCTCACTGTGTCTCCCAGGCTGGAGTGCAGTGGCGCGATCTCGGCTCACTGCAAGCTCCGCCCCCCGGGTTCACGCCATTCTCCCGCCTCAGCCTCCCAAGTAGCTGGGACTACAGGCGCCCGCTACCACGCCCGGCTAGTTTTTTGTATTTTTAGTAGAGACGGGGTTTCACCATGTTAGCCAGGATAGTCTCGATCTCCTGACCTCGTGATCTTCCCGCCTCGGCCTCCCAAAGTGCTGGGATTACAGGCTTGAGCCACCGCGCCCGGCCGAGTACTATGAATGTTTTAAACAACAAATACATAGCTTTGGTCATCAGACTAGGATAAACTAAACAAAACATTTATGCTGTGTAAACTTTAGTGTTCACTAAACAGGCAGAAATTACAAAATAATTTCCCTTTTACAACTTACGTGGTGCCAGGTAATATCCTTCTTGTTTAATTGTGAAATAGAAGATGCTTGATAAAGCTTAACTGCATCTCCTCTGGAATCACATAAATTGGATCCCACAGTTGCCGATAAACTCTAATGGTGATTATTTCCTTTTCACAGTGCTCCAGCTGAGGCTGCAACAAAGGAGGACGAGAGAACAACTAGTGGACCAGGGCATCATGCCACGTAAGATTTATACCATCACTGCCATCCCTAACGTGACAGAACATGAAGGGCGTGTCCAAGAAGAGCCTGCATCTTGCTCTGCTTTCAGTTGTATCCATTTAATCAACAGTTACCAAATGAATTTCCAAGGAAAAATCAGGCACCTAAGTGAATCATTTAGAATACATTTTAAAAACCAGATGCAGTTTAAAAGAGGGACTTGAATTTTATATTACACAGAGAACACTTTTACACTGTAATTAGGCTAACATTCATTCTTTCTTTAAACTTTAATATTTGTTTTAGTTTTGAAATGACTAAAGTAATCGCTATACTAATGGATTTGAAATTCATTAGACTTGCCAAAAAACAAAATTAATTTATAACTTTTACTTAGACTTATTAATTCCAATTAATTATATTTAGTGCTATGCTATGATCTATATACAGTAATTAAATGTATCTCAGTTACAGGACTGATAAACATTCCATTTATAATTCATATTTTTGGCTCAAGTACAGATATTTCCCTAGTATCCACTAGGGTTTGTTCCTTTCAGAAATTTTTGAGAGTTGATTAATTTTAGAATGTTTGTTCTAGTTGTTTTCTTTACCTTTAGTCACCAAGTTTGGAGGTGGTTTTATATTTTAGTGGGGAGGAATGGCCGTTTTGTGTAGGCCGTTAGGATTGTGTATCTGGATTTTGTGTAAAAATTGACCTTTCCAAGAGGTAACTTACTCAGTTTCAAAACACTAGAAAGAAATTACAAAATTAATTTATGCTTTCCAGTCTTCTGAATCACGGCTATGATAAACTGTTTTCTTGGTTTGTGATATGGAATGATTTTTCTCTTTGGTATATATTTTTCCCAGTAAAACCTTTTTTTCCCTGGACTACTATTAATCGAGAATCTAAATATTTTAAATCTAGCGTTGTGATAGTCAAAAGGTGCTTTGATAATCTGCCAGATTTCTCCACCACCACATTCCTGACGATGAACCAATCAATCAAAAAGGATCAAATTAGGATATTTAAGACACCATTGCTAGGCCAGCTCTAATCTGCTTTTGGGGGCTGGTCCTCAGCCAAACCTGATTGGACTGGGCTCCTGGGAGTCTCTGTGGTGCTTCATGTGCCAGAGCTGAAAATAATGCTGTAAGAGCTGATTGGTCAAGTCTTGGAGGTGACAGCCCAAGGAATCCCGGTCCTCTATCCCATCCATTCATCTGACTGCCCATGCTTATAAGTGCAGGGTGTTACCAGGCAATGGTGGACATACGCAGACAAGATTTTGCAAAGATAATTGATAGAATACTGTTTTAGGTGATGTTTTGGTAAGCACTGCTTACCCTCACACTGGGATTCCAGAATATTTGATTTACCATCAGTTAGCATATTAAGGAGTCACTGTGTCTTTACAGTGAGTTGCCCTGTGGTGTGGTAGAAAGAGCATGAACCTTTCAAATTCAAAATTCTAGATTTAAATACCACTTTGACCACTATCTGGTTGTATGGCCTCAAGAATTCGCTTAACCTCTTTGGGCCTTTCACCTGTCCTGGGGCTTATACCTACCTTGCAAGGTTATTGCAGGGACCAACAGCAACATAGACTTGGTTAAGCACAGAGCCCGTTACGGGCTCTAAATAAATGATACCGCAAATCTGTTGGACACAAAGTGCAGTGTGATGTTCAAGGTTACATCACTCCCAAGGACATATGGACTTTTTCTATAGCTTATATGACCATTAAGAGCAAAGACTCATCAAGGAGTCATCAGACAGTCCCCTTGGCAATGGAGATTTGCTATGAGTAGTCAAAACTGGTCTGAGCTGATATTTGCATTGTCATTTTGTATACAACTGTGTTTTAAATGTCTGCTTTATTTGTGAAATACATAATTTTTATCTTGTAACATTTAAGATTTCAAATTGTGTGGGTCTCCTAATGGAACTAGTAAATTAATGGAACTGTAGATGTGATCTATTAATAATGGGTTTGTCAACATGATATACTATAACATTGGATTGAAGTATGAACTCCATTTATACTGTGGAACCCATTTCTTTTCTGACAGCTTTGAAGAGCCCAGCGGCATTCCATGAACAGATAAAAAGCTTGGAACGAGCCAGAGTAAGACATTTCACTTTAAAATGTTCTACTTCTCTCTCCTTCTCTCCCTCTGTTCTAAAATACCTGTGTACAAGTAGCAGTCTTACTCCTAAACATGTCAATAGAGAAAAATATAGTGTATTTTCAGGATACATGGCATAGAGAATATTTACTCTGGGACAGTTTGATCTGGAGGTTTGTGGAAAATACATGACATTCAAATTTTGTTCTTTTAAAACCAGTTACTAGTTTTGTACAAAAATGACAAATCATACTTCTTTGCTTTCTTGCTCTCAGAGCATAACAACAGTTTTTAGAGGCATAAGAGGGGGTAATTCTGTCATTTGTTACCCCTGCAGAGAGACAGCCAAGGATGTGCTGACACCAGATCCTTAGGTGATTTCCCTACTGGGTCTCTGTTACCTGTACATTTGACCAACGGTAGGAGAATATGGCTAAATCAGAAAACATTGCTACATTCAACTCTGCTTTATTCTTTAAGATGGCACCATCATACTTGTACATGATAATTGTTAAGATTTTTCTTTAAAAATGCCATTATGAATATTCATTCTTTTTGTTTGTTTTGGGGAAAATTTCTATCATGCAACATGAAAATAAACATATTCCAAAATTTTCTTAAGAATTTTTCTAGAATGCAATAATGATCTCTTATAGTCTTATAAAACCTATATTAAGGCTTTCTTCCTTAAGAGTTGAATACATTTCTAATTAAGAAAATCTGATCAAGGATATGAACTTACCAAAGAAAATACATTAAGACTTTTAGGAAATTTGTTATCTAGGTGGATTTTTACTGGACCTGAAGTATAGATTTTATTGATTGTAGATATTTAAGTGATTTAAATCCTATGTTTATTAAAAAATTATCTTTAAAAAATTATCTTCAAAACATGACCTTTCAGTGTTGATAAGTTTTAAAAGTTTATAAAGTGCTTAGTTTATACCAACATACTCTTCAAGTCCCTGTACAATTTTGAAGGCTACACTTTAAATCATGTGTTGGATAATAGTTTTTCTAAGTGCTAATTTCTACTCTTCCTCTCAGACACCTGACCATAAGGGTATTGTTTATTTAAATAGAGTACCTTAAACAACATTTAAAACCACAATAAATAATAAATAATTTATGGTAAGACTTTTTTTCTTTTTAAAGACCGAAAACTTTTTGAAACACAAGATTCGGAGTCGACCAGATCGTTCTGAACTTGTCAGGATGCACATTTTAGAAGGTAAAGGATTTATTTCTTCTTAATTTGCTGTATTTTTTCAAAAAAAGAAGTGAGAATTCCACCATTTCTGTTTATTCCCATTTGAGTAACTTTTTACCCCACAGCCTTACTTCCTCCAAACTGGATAGCAACATGAAGACCCAAAGCTAAAACATTATGTTAGGTACACAGGGAAGGTTTGATTCTTCACATAACCAATTAACGGACTAACACTTCCACACCAGCTGGTACCACAGATGCCTCTACCATACAGTTCCATTAAAAAAATTAGTGTCCAGAGGACCCCATCTAAAGTGGATATATGTCCAGTGAGGAACATATATCCACTTTTTAAGTCCTAAAGAATGCAATAGCCCAAGTCTAACCCTAGGTTTTCAACTACTTGGACCTTGTCTGTGTCTACGTGGTACATTTCCACACCCAGCGTTTTCTCTTTATTGCCACTTACCCACAACAAGCCACCTTGAGCTGACCATTAGCACCTCCCACCCACCTCCGCCAAATGATCTCAGTCGTCTAACCTCATCATGTACGAGGCTGGTAAGGACAGTTCCACACCCAACGTTTTCTCTTTATTGCCACTTACCCACAACAAGCCACCTTGAGCTGACCATTAGCACCTCCCACCCACCTCCGCCAAATGATCTCAGTCATCTAGCTTCATCACTTACGAGGCTGGTAAGAACAGTTCCGTTGCATCTTTGGTTAACACATGGGTCAGGCCAGGATGTTTTTCTCTCTAAAGGCAAAGCATTCTCGAAAGCTTATACCTCCACTATCAACTCCCAAGTTACATTTTCTTTCATTGTTTTGCTTCTCCAACGAATTTATTAAGACTAGGAGCTTGATTCTTTGGTAGCCTTGGGTCTGTTAAGTATTGAGAAGATACGGAAACAGTCTGAAAACTTCTCAGACATTGAGAGACAGTTGTCAGGTAGAAGGGAGGTTTGTTCTCTGGGTCTAATGATAGGATTAGAGTTAGTATTAAATTAGGTCGATATTACCAAGTATTAGATTGTAGCTCAACATAAGAAATAATATCTTAAAGGTCAGACATGTCCAGAAATGAAATCTTCAGGAGGTGATATGGCTACCATGATTAGAGGTGTTCCTTCATTGGCCAGTGTGCTAGACTCCAGAGACCCAACAAGTGAGCGAGACAGATGGATGCCTGACTTCACGGAGCTTGCAGTCTAGTTTTGCTAACAAACAAGCAAAACAAGTGAATTACAGATTGTGAGAAGAGCTCTGTGGGGAGTAAACAGACTGCTATGATAGAGAAAAAACTCAATATTAAGGATGTGGTAAAGAACTTCCAAGCATCCAGGTGGTCTCTGCAACCCCAAGTAGGGGCTCTTCTGTTGTAAAGAATCTTTGATTATATGGCTGTCCTCCTCATTCCAGGGGCAGGAGGTGAGAGGTATGTCCCTTTCTCTACTTTGGGTTGTGTTCTCAGAAGTCCGCTGGACTAAAAAGGCTTTTCCAGAACTCCAGTAGTAGGGTAGAGCAGCTACCAGTCAGGGATAAGTGAATCTTCAAAGAAGCAAGTTTACTGGTAAGTAGCCAAGTAAGTGGTTGCTTCTTTGCCTGAAAACATCTTGACCTATAAGGGACATTTTTGTAGTAACAATGCTATCTGTTTCAATTTGTCTTCTAACTGTAATAAGCTTTATTAATATAATTAAAATCAAGGAAAATACATTTAACTCTCAAAAGAAATCTTTTTTTTACGACTACCCACCATTTAAAAATCTAACTGTATTTATGAATGAACCATAAGTGATGTTTTTAGGACATCTGTCCTTAAGTTGGGATTTTTGAAATAAGAAAGAATGTCATTTTATTTTTTAAAGTATCTTAAAACCACCACCACTCCCAACTGTATTTTAACATTAACCCAATTTTGATTGGATTGGATATTTGGCAGGCAAAGGTCTAAATTACTTCCTGAAGCTCAGCAGCTAAACTTCAGCCTCAGTCATGGGGATAGAGGTAATAAGACCAGCAACAGAAACATACCAAAATTCCAGGCTTTACTTACTTGAGAATATTTTCTTTCCATACATATTGCTATCACTTAGGTGGTGGTAATGTAAGAGAGGAGAAAGACAGAAGTCTGTCCTACCTAGATCTTAATCAGAAGCATTGAAATATCAACCTGAGAGTGATTCTTATGTTCTGATTCTCCGCAGCGATCATCTTGTATGGTTACAGGTGTTATCTCAGAAGATTGGGGCCACAGTTGGTTGTATGGGAAAATGATAAAAATGAGATGGACACACATTTTAACCTGTAGATGTCTCCATTTATTTACCAATATTCCAACATTGTGCTAGGGCCTTCTCTTTGGGTAAGACTTTAATAAATGGAGTTCACATCAATCTGAGCTTTAAAATCCCAGATTTCGCAACCTTTTTCTCAAATTTCTTACAGTTGTTAATTGCCCAAATGAATTTGACAGTGATTTTTTTAATGACTTACCTTTATCAAATCTTTCCAAAGCATTTAAGTTTCCAAGAAATGGGCCGGGCGCGGTGGCTCAAGCCTGTAATCGCAGCACTTTGGGAGGCCAAGACGGGCGGATCACGAGGTCAGGAGATCGAGACCATCCTGGCTAACACAGTGAAACCCCGTCTCTACTAAAAAATACAAAAAACTAGCCGGGCGAGGTGGCGGCGCCTGTAGTCCCAGCTACTCGGGAGGCTGAGGCCGGAGAATGGCGTGAACCCAGGAGGCGGAGCTTGCAGTGAGCCGAGATCCGGCCACTGCACTCCAGCCTGGGCAACAAAGCGAGACTCCGTCTCAAAAAAAAAAGTTTCCAAGAAATGATCTTTTATTTTTTGAAGTTTTATCATTTTCTCATAACGTTTAGTTACATTTTGTATTCACTCATAATAGCGGTCACAACAGATATGAATCATTTTGTGGACAATCAAGGCTCACTTTTGGCAAGCATACAGCTAGGTGGATAGAGAAGCTGCACAGATGTGCTGCAGGGTAACCTGCTAGCCATGTGCTTTCAGTGGGCCTTGGGCTTCACAAGAACATTCTATTAATACTTGCAGAATAAAGAATATCAGTTCATCCTAAGCCAACTTATGGGGAGTTTCATTAAAAGACCTTCTACTGTATAACTTAAGAGGCAAGCAACTTTCAACTTGGAATTTGGGTAGACACTACATCATTATTTTTCATCATTTCTAAACATTTCTTTAGAACAATGGAAAAAGCATTAACAAGAGTTACCGGAAACACAAGTATGACAGAATGAAGCAGATGGATGAATTATGGTATTTATAGTTTTACATTGGTTGTACCAATTTTAGGCAGTTGTAAGTAGATGAGTTGATGCCTCTATACAACCATTAATTACTGTGTATTGTAGTTGAATGTTCCTAACAGACACAAGGATATATATCCAGAAATAAACCCAAATTCTTAATTATGATGACCGACCAAGACACAGGGGATCAATTCAAGAATATGAATGATAGCTCTTCCTATTGACCTCTGAAGAGAAGCTTATAAGCCTAAGAGGCAGTGTCTCCTTTCTAAGAATTGACTTTCCAATGAAGCCAAATCCAGAACTGTCAACTTCTTGAACTGTGGGCCACATCTGTCTCGCTCATCCTCTGTATCCCCAATGCCTAATAAATGTGAATTTGACCCTCCCACCATAAATAAACAATAGCAGTACCCCACTTTTGGTTTAAGGTCCTGTTAATTTGAGTCTGTGGGCATCCAAATTACGTAGAGAAAGTAAAGCTATCCAGAACTAAAAAATACAAAATGCATACTGGAACATTCTTAAACAGTCATTTTCTCTTTCCATAAATATGTCGAGAACACAAAAATATGTCTAAATCAGTTTAAATTCAGTTAGTTGGCCTGAAATAACATTATGGAATAGAAATAGTAATTGGAGTAATGGTTAAAATTGTGTTTCCTCTTTTAGAAACATTTGCAGAGCCATCCCTGCAGGCTACTCAGATGAAGTTGAAAAGAGCTCGACTAGCAGATGATCTGAATGAAAAGATTGCTCAAAGACCTGGCCCTATGGAGCTGGTAGAGAAAAACATCCTTCCTGTGGACTCCAGTGTTAAAGAAGCAATTATAGGCAAGACTCTAAAAATTTACTGTTTTGGGGGAGAAAGAGAAACGTGGAAATTTTAGATAAAACAAATATAATTTAAAGGTTAGCACCAATCGTATTGTTTTCTGGGTTAATTAGAAATTAACACTTAGAGTGATTTCTGTTACTGTCATTTCATTACGTATTATAAGTCTAGTATCTGCCGCCGAGTAACAGATTCCCTTGTTAGGTTTGAGGTTTAATTCGTACATTCTGATTTCATCTCACCTTTTGGGGTCCATCTCTTTAGGACTGCATGGAATCATGGTTGATTGTACTGCTTAGACTTCTTGACTGCAAATTGCCTAAGCTTTAAAGTCATACCAGTACAAAATAGGAAGTCCCCAGGGGTGATGAAAATGACAATAGTTTTTAAGATAGGATATTAACTTTTCAAAATTGGTTGTTGAGTAAGTAGCATTATTATTGAAATAATTTTCTAAGTTAAACTTAGTTTCTATTTAATATTTTTACTAACTTTATTTCTGTCTACTTCTAGGAAATATAAATAGCATGTTCAGTGTTAGTTCAGCAAGGTGAATAGCAGATGAGTACAGAATGGTAGTATCTCTCCATTTTATCCTGGTCTTATCACACTTAGTTACTGATGTTTCTTTTTATTTCTGGCATAAGCTTTAGCAAAAAAAAGAAGAAATCATGTGAGACGTCAGTGTAGCTGGGTTGCTCCTTTTAAAGTGGGAACTTATCAACATACACCTAGTCATGGCCCCATTTTCCTCCTTATCACGTGTTTTGTTTTTTGGTTTTGTTGTTGTTGTTGTTTTCTTTTTTGAGACGGGGTCTGGCTCTGTCTCCCAGGCTGGAGTGCAGTGGTGTGATCTCAGCATACTGTAAGCTCCGCCTCCCAGGCTCACGCCATTCTCCTGCCTCAGCCTCCCAAGTAGCTGGGACTACAGGCTCCTGCCACCATGCTTAGCTAATTTTTTGTATTTTTAGTAGAGACAGGCTTTCACCATGTTAGCCAGGATGGTCTCGATCTCCTGACCTCATGATCCACCCGCCTCGGCCTCCCAAAGTGCTGGGATTACAGGCATGAGCCACCGCGCCCGGCCTGTCACGTGTTTTTTTTAACAGTTGGATTTCCCGTCAGGATCCAAACAAGGTCCACACATTGCCTCTGCCTGATACTTCTCTTAAATCTTAATCTATTGGGTGGATCTTCTTCTTTTTCTTAGTACTTGTTTGTTGAGAAACAGGCTTGTTTTGTCCTCTAGCATGTCCCACATTCTGGATTTTACTGATTGCATTTGCGTCCCCAGGTGTTAAGATTCCTGGCACTTGTACTTCAGGTAACTGGTAGTTGGACCCGAAGTCTTAATCTAATGAAGGTTTGATTTTTCTTTTTCACCCAAGAATACATCATGGTTATTGGTGTGTTCTTGCACTGGGAAGTACATTGTGTTCAATTTTTTTTAAAGCAGCTTCATAAATTTTCATAGGAAACAATGTTTTCCTCCTTCACATTAAGCTTGGTATTCCAAAGCCAACATAAGTCAAAAATCATTTCTTTCTTTAGGCGTTGGGAAGGAGGACTATCCCCACACTCAGGGCGATTTCTCATTTGATGAAGACAGCAGTGACGCTTTGTCTCCGGACCAGCCTGCGAGTCAGGAGTCACAGGGGTCAGCCGCGTCCCCAAGTGAGCCAAAAGTTAGTGAATCGCCATCTCCGGTGACTACAAACACTCCAGCCCAGGTATTATCTTTCTGGTTTTGAGCCCTAAAGAAAGAAAATGCCTTTTTTTTTTTTTTAAATATATTAAGGTAATAAACTTTCACCAGAAGAAAATTCTGAATTGAATTTAAATGGATTAGGCAAAAGGCAGGCACTTAACTGCCCTCTAGGAAGGTAATAAAGATTTCTAGCCACTATGTCTTTATCACAAGTAGGTAATACCATTTCCTGAAATCTTGGAGAGTTGAATGTTTTGATCATTGATGGAACTGAATTTGTTTGTTCAACAAATACACATTGAGCACCTACTATGTTTCAGATTTATTGGGAACTGAGAATCTAGTGCATACAAAGGAATGTAAGAAATGTCTTGGTAATTGCATTGGAAATTTACATTTCTTACCTTTTAATGGGTGTCCATGTTTCTTTTGGCTTTATAATAATTCCTGTGCTATACATAATGTTTTTTCTCCTTATGGTACTTTTTCCTTACTGAAATTTTAATAGTGTTACTTTAAAGTCAAAACTATTGAACTACTTAATGGGAGTGATCAAGTCAGCAGAAAATGTTCTTGTTAAGCCTGGCATCATAGAATTTTTGAGTCGGAAAGGAATTTTAGCAATTATCTGCTTTAACCTCATGCAAGAGGCAGCCTGGGTTCACAGAAGTATGGAAGTTTGGGGATTAAAAATGCCTATTTTCTTACAGCATTTCTTCTCATTGATGACCATTGATTTGTTAGGAACTATGTCTTTCAGCATTATTTTCTTCATTGCATTTATCACCATGATCTGAAATATGTTAGTCTCTATGCCTGCAGCTAAAATGTGAGCCTATGAGAGGGATTTTGACTGTTAGAAGATAAGAGCTACTTTGGAGAGGGAGGGAGGGGGAGAGAGAGAGCAAGTGTATCTTGAGCATCTAGCACAGGGCCCGGTACAGAAAAGGTGCTTAGTAAATGCTGACTTGAATTAAGCACCTTGAATGCAGACTGACACAATGGTTGTGGAAGCTTGTTTCTGTTCTTCCATGTGCATGTAGAGCCTCTACAGCTTGGACTCATCAACAGTAGTGTGGATGGCTACAGTTAAGATTGTCCTCTCCAAGTTCACAGGGCAGGGGTGACCGTGGCCCCTCAGTTGTACTGGACCCTGGCCTAGAAGAAGTATGAGGGTCAGTGACCAGTCCACAGTCTGAGGTCTGAGGAGGCAGAAAGCGAGAGCGAGGGAGACTAAACCCTACTGTGTTCTCACATATTTGCTGCACCCTGGTTTTGAGCTTTAAAAATTCGGTAAAAAGAATGTCAAGTATGTGAGTAGATACTATTAACAAACAGTTACACTTATCCATTTGGGTTGTTTGTTCTCTGTTACTGTTTTGAGTAGGTTAGGATGTCAGATAGCAATTAGCATGGCCTTAACTTTTAGTAATACAGAATTTGTGTCACAACAGCCACCTATTGTTTAAACTTCAAGACCATTTCACCTGCATGAAAGATTATAATTCTCTTCCTCCTATTGCTGGTACTACTGTGTTTTATTTCTGTAGTCTTAAAACATGGTCTCCAGCTAAGTTTTTAATTGAGACCCTTTAACCAGAGGCATTCCCACACAGTGAGCTGACATTCCAGAATTCCTTGAAGGAAAATAGTAATAACAGTGTTTCTTGAAGAATAAATATGGTCTGTTTCTTGCCAGTGCAACACACATTAAGCCTTGGGTCACTCCTGAATTTAAGCACTAGTTTTCATAGTACCTTCAGTGCTGCTGCAGTACCAGTTCTGCCTGTTACATGCAGACCATTAACAGTCAGCTTTTTATCTGTCGACTAGGGTGATGGGAAAAGACCCACTTTCCAGGATGTTAACAGTTCCTATGTATACATTCAAGAAAAAGAACCTGGAGTCAGGGTTGGCTCCACTGTAGCTTTGCCTGTTAAATCATTTCTGTCCTATGTGCCTTGAGACCTCTTAAAATTGTGTCCTTCATGAAACCCCCTTGTATTAAGTGTTCTAGTATTTATAAGTAAGGAATCTGACAAAGATGATTATTATACTTTTATTCATGTAATTAAAGAAGCATGTCCCTGGTAACTATGCCATACAGATGTCAAAGAAAGATAATTCTTAAGTAGGATTATTAATACACTGTAGGTGCTTTGTTTTGACTTCTTTTTTAAATTAACTACAGAGGTGAACTTTATGATGCTGGTAAAGTCTTGGGGATTTTTGTGTCATCTAAAGGTGATAAGTTTTGTTTTGGCAAATTTTGTACTTTATTTTCACTGTTATCCAGTGTTTGGTTATAGAATTTGTCCAGGCATCTCACTTGATATATATAAAATATATTTATCTACCTAAATATACTTATTTTCATATTCGTAGCTCAAGGGGAAAGGACCTTGACACATTGCTTCTCCTTAGACACCAAGTTCCTAGAGGGCAGGGATTTATCTTAGTAACCTCATACTGAGCACAGGGGTCCAGCACACAGCAGGTACTTACTTAACTGATTTAACACATGACAGATTCTTGGAGACTCTCTGCAGTCTGTTTTTTCCTGCTTTAGAATTACCATCATACCACTGCCACAAAGACGAGCTATGACACAATTTATTAAAATGTGCTTGTAAAACAAAGATAATAAAAGAGCAACATACATGTCTTTCAGGGGTTCTTTGAGATTCTTAATTTTTAATCTTGAAAATAACTCATTGTCAGAGTTTGATGGTAAATTTCATTGCTGTTGACCAGTCCTCGAATTGGCTGTAGTGAAGGACTAGCTTGATTTTTTTAGATATTTCTTTTTTTTTTTTTTGGGAGGGAGTCTCACTCTGTCGCCCAGGCTGGAGTGCAATGGTGTGATCTCAGCTCACTACAACCTCTGCCTCCCGGGTTCAAGCGATTCTCCTGCTTCAGCCTCCTGAGTAGCTGGGATTATAGGCACCCACCATCATGCCCAGCTAATTTTTGTATTTTTGTAGAGACAGGGCTTCACCATGTTCGCCATGCTGTCTTGAACTTCTGACCTCAGGTGATCGGCCCGCCTTGCCCTCCCAAAGTGCTGGGATTACAGGCATGAGCCACAGCACCCAGCCTATTTAATTTTTGATGCATGGGGACTAATCCTCTTGTAAAGTACAAGTGGTGGGGTAACATCAAATTTCTATGTGACTTTCGCAGGTAACAGAGGTCCACAGACCATACTTTGAGTGAAATCTCTGCCGTAGATTTCACTTTCCTTCTTGTTTGCCTGAGCCAAATTTTGTCATGTATTTATTACTAATTGTGTGCTGCATGTTTAATCCTATGGCTTAAACTAAGCTATCCAACCTACAGCCCACAGGCTGAATGCGGCCCAGGACAGCTTTGAATGCAGCCCAACACAAATTCGTAGACTTTCTTAAAACATTATGAGTGGTTTTGTGTGATTTTTTTTCTTTTAGCTCACCAGCTATCGTTAATGTTAATATATTTTATATGTGGCCCAAGACAATTCTTCTTCCATTGTGGCCCAGGGAAGCGAAAAGATTGGACACCCCTGGCTTAAACTAAAGAGAGAAATTAGAAAAATGTGATTTTTTTTTTTATGCCTGACTGAGGCAGGGGGCGGTGGCTCAGGCCTTTAATTCCAGCACTTTGAGAGGCCAAAGTGGGAGGATCACTTGATCCCAGCAGTTCAAGACCAGTCTGAGCAACAGCGAGAACTTGAACATCACTGATCATTAAAGAAATGCAAACCAAAACCACAATGAGATACCATCTCACGCCAGTCAGAATAATTATTAAAAAGTCAAGAAACAACAGATGCTGGTGAAGCTGCGGAGAAATAAGAACACTAGAAATAAGGAGAAGTGGCTGTTTTTTCACATTCCAAATTTTCAACAAAAGATGCAAAGAAGGCAGGCATGATAGTACACACCTATAATCCCAGCTTACTTGGGAAGCTGATGCAGGAGGATTACTTAAATCCAACAGTTCAAGTCTGGTCTGGGCAACATAGCAAAATCCCATTTAAAACAAACAGACAAAAGGCTGGGTGCCGTGTCTCAGACCTGTAATCCCAGCAGTTTGGGAGGCCAAGGCAGGTGGATTGCTTGAGCTCAGGAGTTCAAGACCAGCCTGGGCAACATAGTGAGACCCCCATCTCTACTAAAAATACCAAAAAAAAAAGTAGCTGGGCGTGGTAGTGCACACCTATGGTCCCAGCTGCTCGGGAGGCTGAGGTGGGAGGATCACCTGAGCCAAGGGAGCAGAGGTTGCAGTGAGCCGAGATCACACCAGTGTACTCCAGCCTGGATAACAGCAAGACCCTACACACCCTGCCCCCACAAGAAAGAAAAAATCTCCAGAAACTATCTTAGAAGAAACACACATATCTGCCCTACTAGACAAAGGCTTTAAAGTAATTATCTTAAGTATACTGAAAAACTAAAAGAAAACATGAACAACAAACTAAAGGAAATTAGGAAAACTACATATGAACAAACTGAGAATATGGTAGAAATTACTTTTTAAACCCAAACAAATTCTGTAATTGAAGATGTAACGGAATTGAAAAATTCACTAGAGGGCTTGAACAGACTCAAACAAGCAGAAGAAAGAATCTGCAAATGATTTGAAATTGAGTCTGAAGACAAAAGGAAAAAAGAATGAAGAAAAGGGAAGAACCTAATGGGACACCATCAAGCAGATCAATGTATTCACTATGAGAGTTCCGAAAGGGGCAGAGATATTAATTAAAGAAATAATGGCCCAAAACTTCACAAATGTGAGGAACAACATGGATATACAAATACAGTCATGCTTTGCTTAACAACAAGGATACATTCTGAGTAAAGCATTTGTAGTAGTCAACTCTTGCACTGCTATAAAGAACTACCTGAGACTAGGCAATTTATGAAGAAAAGAGGTTTAATTGACTCACAGTTCCACAGGCTGTACAGGAGGCATGGCTGGGGAGGCCTCAGGAAATTTATAGTCATAGTGGAAGGGTAAAGGGGAAGCAAGCATGTCTTCACA